GACCCCGAGGCCTGAAGGTTGTGCCTTCAATCCCTAGTGAGGTTATCAGTGTCCACTACTGACCAGTACGAAACTATAATGAAACAGTTGTGCTGTGTTCCCTGGTTTTCAATGACTCTCTAACTGATGTGGGTTTGTGATGACATCGACACTGAAATTCATATTTCTGTATGCACATTCACAGTGAATTCACTGAAACCTGCATGCTCTTTTTTCAAACATTTATTCCATAGTGATAGTCTCGGGTAGGCCGACTATAATTAATGCGATGGATGGTAATTGAAGCTGATTCCGAGATACGTCAGAATTCGGACCGGTGGCCTTCGAATTATCAGTTGGACGATTCATCATCTGAACTACAATACCCGATTGCCATTCATATTGTGAATTAACCGGATTTAGCAGTCTGCTTTTTTCTTTCTAATTCATCATAATTACGAGTAATAGATAAAGATGTAATGAAAGTGTTATGACTTATGGATATTGTCCTTTGATTCATTCACATGATGGATGGGTGCTACTCATAATGATTCAAACTAAATGATGACCTATCTAGTATGTTTAACCTCGTCCAGCTCACTTGTTTACTAGTTTACTATGCGGTTCTAATTGTGGAAAAAGAGGAAAGGTTGGGGAAGGGATTAGCACTCTGTCCCAAAAACTCAGTCCATCGCTTCATAAACTGGAGATACAAAATAATGCTAGCTGGCGAAAAGATTCGGGAGGCCAGTCAACCCCTTTATCCTCTTCCGATGAAGGCAAAATGAGCATAAGGATATGGAATATCTACACAATTTTCGAAGCTGAGAAGATTACTCAGACGATATATCTGCACAGAATGTTACTTCTTGATCTTTGGGTATCAAATTATGGAGTACCAACTACAATTATATCCGACTGAGGAGCCCAGTTCCAGTCAACTCTCTTTCGTGATCTAACGAGACTGCTTGCAGGGAATTATATCTCCACCACAAAATATCGTCCGGCAGTCAATGGTCTTGTGGAAAGATTCTACAGACTGATGGCTAAGACTGACAGATTCAAGTGGAGTGAACACTCACCGTTGATCCTACTGATCCTCCGATCGACTGTTAAATAAGACTAAGGATGTACACCAGACCAACTCGTTTATGGTACTACCCTTACTTTGCATGGACAACTGGTTCCCTCACATGATTCAACAGATGTGAATATTACTGACCTCACCAACAGACTAACTAAACAAATGCTTTAACTTCAGCCAACAGCAACTCTACAACCTCTTCGAAGAGATAAGGTCAGCAAGCATCTGGAAACTTGCAAATTTATCGTTGTTCGAGTCGATGCTGTCAGAAAAGGACTGCAATCTCCGTACCAAGGTACTTTCCAAGCCCTTAAACGTTCAGACAATTATTTTACAGTGAACAAAAATGGAAAATGGAAAAATGTTTCCATTGATCGAATTAACTCAGCCTACACAGACAGCAGATCCGAAGCTACAAACAGGTAATTAATTAGTCGATATAACTCCAACAGCCTTAATTCTTATTCATACTTTTTATCAAACGCGTAGTGGCCGGAAAATCAGTAAATCTGCGGGCTACTTTTATTTTGTGTACTGATCAAGCAATTACATTTTTCTCGTTTAGACATTATTACTGTTCACTTTGATGTCGCTGTTACTACAAAATTTGGCTATCATCATCATTAGTATTTGTTTATTTGTATATTAGCTACAAGACCGGTATCTGTGTTCATAAAAAACGGCTTACATTGATTTTAATTTGTTCTTAAAATCACTAATTACTATGCACTTAGATATATATGTTTATGAATGAAAATCTTCTTTGTTCATAGCCTCTTCAAAGAAAAACAAACCTCATTTAATTACCATAAACTTTTATATAATTTTTTGTTGTTGAAATGTTTGTTCGTGCGTTAGAATTTAAACAATCTGTATACGTTTTCACGCACTCGCAAGTTACTATGTATCCTTATTATTATCACACACACACTGTTATTAATATTATTTTTCAAAAAATGGATCCTTTCATAAGCTCTGTCTGCTTCTTCTGCGCTCTGTGCTCACTAACTTGAGTAACGTACCCCATAAAAGGGGTTCTAAGATCTTCCGGCTGTTCGTCTACTGCATATTGTATATTTGTATTGCTAACAGTGACAGCTTTTGGTAGTCTCTCCAGACCTCTAAGGGTGAAACCATCTAGAGTCTGGAACGGTATAATTGTACAAATTTTTGTTGGATGTTACAAGTGGAGAAAACATTGTGCATACCTTTTGTTTAGAACGACTCATTGTAAAACGAACACAACTTTAGAGTGCAATCTTAAATATAGCGTGCTGCTCTTTGATTCGTCTTCTCACTGGTCCATACTGTTTGCTTGCTTTGCTTCTAACCATGCTGTATCCATTGTATTTTCTAGGAACCTCTCATCCTCATCCGAAGGCTATTCTACAGCCAGTGTACGACTTCTACTAGTAGGCATGACCCCAGTAGCGAACGCTTCTATGAATTATTTAAAAAATTTGTAGCAACGAACTTTGACTATGTCACCAAGCAATCATTAATTTCTACGACTTCTTAAATGTTTTTTATAACATACTGTTACAAATTTGTTTCACAAACTTGGATTTTTATTCTGATATTTTGTACCGTTATCGAGCTCGTTATTAGGTCCCCTACAATTGTTCCACTGGGCAAACTGAAAGTGAGTATACAAATCTACTGAATGGCCCACTCAAATCAACTATTGATAATTTTCAATTGTATGCTAGGTATCTGGACGACATCTTTATTATCTGTGATGACGGTCACGATCTAAGTCAGTTACTACAAATATTCAACAAATGCCATTCAGCTACAAAGTTCACTCTTGAAATTGAAAACGAATTTAAAATCCCTTTTCTTAATGTTGAACTTACAAGAAGAGCTGACGGAACTTTAAGAAGGTCCATCCATAGGAAATCCACGTGGAGCGGCCAACTGACAGGGTACCAATCAGTCGAAAAAGAAACCCAATTAGATCTCTTGCTACTCGCGTTCGACGCATCTGCAGCTCTGATACCCTGGGAGAAGAACTACACTTCCTGAAAGAAATCCTCATACAAAATTGATATCCATCAAGATTCGTAGAAAAAACATTAAACAGAAAATCCAAAAGCAAGAAACGCCATCCGTGCCAAAAAGATACCTCGATTTCAAAGATGACCTACTCAGTGATGTCCTTATGAGGAGAATTTTCACTTTTTTAAGAAGAACATCCTTCTCGGCAACACTGAATGTAGCTTTCTCCAGTCGCCCACTGATCTGCAGAAGCCCAAAGGACAAGATCTCACACATGACCACTTCTGTGTATAGATCAGTTCACCTGTTGCTGTGGAGCCAGGCACATCGGTCGTTCGATGCGTCTTCTGTCAAAAAGGGTCAAAGAACACTATCCAGCGTTGCTGCAGAAAGGAAGTAGTGGCCGTATTAGGAGTGCAATAATCGAACATCCTTCAAAGTAATCTACAAAGTGAAGAACAACCTACCAAAGACAATACGTTGCCGCCTTCTTTGCATTGCAGAAGTCCTGGCCATTTAGTTAGAAGAACCAGAACTATGCATACAAAAGAAAATTACTCAGCCACTTCCACTATTATGGTAACAGCTCTGATTAACTGACTCAACTTCTGCTTGTTTCCTTGTTTTTCTAACTAATTAAAACTTTCGTATTCCCTTAAAACTTTTAAGAAACTCCATATTCTATTTTGTTTCCGTGTTCACCCTGAGCAGAACTCTTTCATCAAACTATTCATGCTAGAACGTAACTCTTCTTTAACAATCGTTTGTGACAACTCATCAGTTCTGTTACTAACCTCTTAAATCAACATCCCATTCCTCTGAATACTTTTCGTATTACGCAACTCCAACAAAAACCTACTAATTGTATTTTCGTTTGACGAAGTTAATAACCATCTATATTTGCGATTGTACAGCTGTGAAAATGAATTCGCCGAAAAGATACTCTTTGCCGAATTACTGGTCTTCTCTCTATTATTGTTCGAATGGTGATTTTTCATGATCTAAAAAGTACACAATTAGGTGTTATGATTGAACTTCCTGGATGTTATCATATCCCATTCTAGGGGGAGCATATAAAGTCGAATCCTTCATTGTCCCAGATTATCATTTCAATTTTGGAAAAAATCCACTTCATAAAATATATTTCCATTAAGTGAATTTAGTGTGTTGCTTTTATACTTATATTTTTGTAACCTTTTACTTGTTGAAAGTTTTTTCATGAAGTAATAACGAGGTAAAAATAATTCATCAACTTCATATTTTAATGGAAGAAATGTTATCGAACCTTTGGTGTATACTTCATCATAAACCTGAACGAATTATGAACCCGGAAGTGCATTGTGTTTAAGTCGCATTGGTCGTCCATTGGTAGAATACTTCCCGACCATGCTGTGGTCCGGGGGGTGGGTTGATTCCTATCCGACGCACCTTGCTTAGCCCAGTATAAATGGAGGGTCAGATGTGAGTTTAGCAATACCCCACCAATTAAAAAGAATATTACCACTGCTACTGTGACGCTTCAAAGCTCAAGTCTGAAGCCCTATCCTCCACTGGGAATGCAAACGAATGAAATCAAAGGAAACAATTCATTTAACTTAAGCATTTTTCAGGTGTAGATTTAGTTCCTGATGTGAATTACTCGGACAGTGCAGTGTGCTTGACTTGTGCTAAAATTAAATTGGCACATTATTATTTTGAAATCGAAAACTCTGTTGTCACTGATAAATGACAGTCGGAAACTAAATTCACAAACGTGTTATGAATTTGGATCTCTGAACCCAACTGCTCAACCACAATACTATAAATCTTATCATAATCATTTTTTCATTATCACTAAATTAATTCTTATTGGTTAGTTAGTGTGATATTGTGTCCATCTATCACTAATTAGTGAGAGGTGGATTCAAAGGTGTTATAAATTCAGAAAACAAACAGTTTTTTAAACTAATATTATTCTTACCATTACCATTAATTCACTACCGGGTATGTCGACTGAAACTGTCGGTTCATGGACGAAATCATGTGCAATTTGTAAACGATTAGATGACAAAATCGCTCTTATCACAGGATGTAATACTGGCATTGGTTTATACACTGCTAGTGAGTTAGCACGTCGTGGAGCAACAGTTATTATGGCTTGCAGAAATGTGGATAAAGCTGAAAGAGCTAAAATGCAAATTTTAGCAAAATATGGCTCTAACAATCCAAAAAGCCGAGAAATTGATATTGCATGCCGTGAAGTTATACCATCACTGAGTACTGTTGAACCACATCAGGTATACTGATGCATTATATTTGTTTGATTCTTTTTAAAAATTGAAATTTACTTTACAATAATGCGAATAACTAGTGCAGCTTTACTTTCATGATGCAACCAGGTAATATAGTGATAATAAATTACTTGAAATGTATTCATTGCATTTATTTTCATGTGCTTGTTTGTAGGGATTTCGTTATATTTAGGTTTGGTTGTGTCAAGTATCTTCATCTGTTTGAGGACCGTTGAAAAGCAGGAAGTATTGTACAGAAGCTGAGTCGCAGTCTGCGACCCTTCGACAGTACGCACCTATGAAAGGTTATGCCCAGGACCTTCAGGTTATGAGGTGCACACGCTACTATTGAGTCACCGGGGTTGAATCCAATCACCTATGAATTCTAACTTCCGCTAGTTCATGATATACAGCTCCAGAGTTAATTAGTGTCATAGAATAGTATCTCTGCTTGATGAAATTGGCCTTTTTCTCCTTCGCATATAAGAACTTCAAGAATTTATCTCCTACGGTCAGTCATTAATCATGAGTAGATTAATTATCCAGAATGTGATTTATTCGTTTTACAAGTTAGTTACATATTGGCGACGCAATACATTTCCTTTCAAAAACATCTCTATTCTGAGTGGAAGCGACTAGCAAAACTTCGTGTTAATCCTTAGACATCACTCAGGCAGCCATACTAGGGGCCAACATATCAGCGGGAGTTCGAGCACTTCAGTCTAGTCAACAGGCATTAAAAATTCACTCAAAACTAATTTTATCTGTTCATTTTCTAATTCCGATACGTGTTATCAGCACAACCATCTACCACTATCGATGAATGTTATGTGTGATCAAGCAGAAAACGAATTTAGGAGGCATAAATAGGAAAAGTTGTTTTTCAAAACGTTTACCACAATGCTGATAAGAATTAAGATAAAATGGAAATTAGATAACCTTGTTTTTGTTAAAGCAAATGCTGCCAACGTTCCATATATATATGCATATATATATATATGTAAAACTTGGGCACTGTGGTAGTATGTAATTCCGTATTAGTTTGTTTATTAGACGTATCACACAGTGATGAAACAGTACTGTTTACTGGACGATGTTTAGAACAAAATTTATTGTTCATAATCATGTCATCAATTATAATCACACGAGTTCGAAACTTGAGTTTTATAGTTTTCTTTGTTCTCTTCTATTTGTCGTCGTTGGGGTAGTAGAATTTTCCAGATATCTGGGACAGGTGTTGAATCATTCCTATGACAGGTATTTGCTGTTGATTCGATAAACAAAGCTTCTGTTATCAACCTCTCCCTCCACCCTGTGACATTAGATTTTAAAACTGTCATCCTATCCCATCCTATTGTATGGTTGTGTGTAATTGCATGTAATGCTATCTAAGGTTGAACTATTCTCCAGATTTCTTATCTTATTCGGGTCAACTAATCTAGATTTTGCTAGATTTTTATGTTCGGCTAGTCTGACTGCCCCTGTTCTATTAGTTTGACCTATGTATTTGACCTGACAATCATTGCAGGGTATTAAATAAATTAAATCATTTTGTTTAATTAACTCCACAGGCAGGATCCTTTAACCGACAACGCTTGTTTCTAATTGAGTTTGTGAGTTTGAATGTCACTTTTATTCCTGCTAGCATTGTTAAGAATGGAATTACTGCTGATAATTTAGATTCCTTATTGTTGGTGTCGTCATCCGGTAAATAATACTGTTTCACTGTGTGATATATATAATTTGCTAGAACAAAGAGTTAAATGCTTTGATAGCTTAAGATAACTATATCCTCGGATGAGGTTGGAAATTGTTTTACCTCTCTTTGAAAACGGTTATTTTGTAGCGGACATTTAATCATCATATTTGATAGCATCTTCAGGGTTCATTGTATTTATACATGTCTAGTTAGGCAGTTGTTCCCTTCTTCACATGTTCATTTGTACTCATCATTGATGAATTCTACAAAATTATTTTTTTGATACATCCGAATCCGATAATAAAACGTGTTAACAATGCGATATGATTCTTTCAATTTTCTTTCTCTTTTAGCTTTTAATCCAAGAAGTTGATCTTGCTTCTTTGAAGTCGATTAAAGCATTTGCTGATAAAATCAAAGAAAATTACACAAAAATTGATTTTTTGATTAATAATGCTGGACTTATACGACGCAAATATGAAACAACTGAAGATGGTTTTGAAGTAACAATGGGAGTTAATTACTTTGGACCATTTCTGCTAACAGAACTACTAATACCATTGTTGAAAAATGCTGCACCATCGAGAATAATAAATATTTCATCTTTCACTCATAATGACGGACGTATAGTTAAACCGGATTTACAGTACAATAAAAAGGACTATAAGGAAATGAATGCATACAAGGCATCGAAATTAGCAAATGTTATACATGCTATGGAATTGAGCGAACGTTTAAGAGACAGCGGTATCACGGCGGTCAGTTTGCATCCGGGAGTAGTAAAGACTGAAATAATGAGGGATCTCACTAGTTTTCCTTTGGTATGATTAACAATAATATTCTTAAAACTTTTGACAATATCACAACGCATACAAGATTTAAATTCATCCATTGTGGTCCTCTTGAAGTCACATAAGGCCGCAACTGATGCATTAGCTCGTATAGCAACTTGTACGCTTCTAAGGAGTAAAAAGTGGCAGTATTCAATTCAGGGGGCCTCTGAATTACTGATTGAACTGAGTCACAAGACGTGACTGCTAACCAGATTGCTATTCCACTGCAGTCAACACAAACAATCAACAACCTTCATGTGAATGAGTAATAGGTAACCATCTTTTGACCACTCTACTACCTGTAGAGATAGATCTGTTAACCGTAACCATACCGAAATAGAAGAAGAAGAAGGATAGGTGATAATCGGTGAACAGAAAGGTGTCATTCGTTCACATGATGACCTAGTCGGTAGGTGAGCATCCTACCTCAGCTGGACTAGTAATTAAAGACTGCTGGTTAGAACCCTGATAAGACCTACAGTTTGATGTCACCTTAGAAAACCAGCCATCACATTAGTAACAGTCTATCATCCTAAAACTATCTAAGATAATATCATCACTTTCGCCCACTAGACTTTCGCAGAACTAAAAAAGTCTGCATATTACTCTATGAGTCATTACAGCAATCTGAATTAATTTTTTACACCACTTTTATTCATTGTGCTCAAGTGTTTGGATACTTGGGATATAAACGGACATTTATATAAATAAATCGCTTCTATGTCCAGTTTTTTCTTCATACTGTCGTCTATTAAAACACACATCTAGGAGTGCTAAGTTTTCTCCAGCCACACCCAACATATGCAAGAGAAGTGACTCAAGCCAAATACCAGAGATATGGGAGATAATATTACGAATCAAATCATAGGATAACAAATTATGTTAAAACTTTGTTTCAATTAAAATTATAACATTCTGATAAGTTATTTATTTTATATTACTGACAAAACATCTTTTTCCCCATCTTATTGACTCACAACACTCGTCTTATTTCTCATCTTATCATATTTTATTGATATTAATAATTTTTTTACTCAAGTATACAAACGAAGTCAGAAAGCTGTGTGAGTAACTTCATATGATTATGAGCAATAAATTGTGCTATAAAGGTCATCAGTAAATATACACGTCTAAGACTATGAGAATTTATCAAAATGAATTTTATCCATAATTAATCTATACTCTGTCAGAGTGCCCTAGTTTTATCCATATAGCTCAAACATATTTTGTCAATTCTTCGTCGATTCCACGTTGTCAATACTGTAGTTTATTTGTTCTGATAATTCAAAAAACAAAAAATACAGTTTTAACACGGATTAAATGAATATAACTGTATTCTTGAGAGCATTATTCACTGCAGCTTTCACTTGGATCTTTTCACTGAAAGCGTAGACGAAACACCCTACTGGGTTTTCCTTCGATTCTATATTCATTTTTTTTGTCTAAACTGAAAACAGATGGAAAGACAGGATAAAATTAGTACCATTTAATCAGAAATGTTGTTTACTATTGATATAAGTATAAAACTTGGGCACTGTGGTAGAGTTTAACTCCATTATGGGTAAGATTTTATTTTGATACATCACACAGTGTTTATTATACAGTAATATTAACTGATGACGTTTCGAGCACAAATTATTGCCACTCATAATCATATCAAGTTACTCACACAACTTTTTTCCTTCATTTATATACATGAGTGAAATTGATTATACATAGCATAATGTTCATTCAGAAATAATAATACGAGTGTTATTGGTCATTTACAATCAGATGGGAAATAAGACGAGTGTTTTTATAGTTATTATAAGTAACTTCTTAGAATGTTTTGATGTGCTTGAAGTGAAATAGAATTTTAAGATTATTTATTATCCTCCTCTGATTTGACTGGTGGTAATAATATCTTCCATATCTCTGGTATTTCCATTGAGTCATTTCTGTAGCACGTGTTGGTTGTAGATTCTATGAGCAAGGATTCAATAATCAATCTCTCTCTCCACCTACCTATATTACTTATTAGAATGTTAACCCTCTCCCATCCACCCTGTTGTGTGTTAATGCATGCAGTGCAATGTAGTGTGAGCTTTTTTCTAAATTACTTATCTTCTCTGGGTCAACCATTCTTACCTTAATTGGTGGATGGTGACTAGCAGTGGAATCCAGGACAACGCGCATTTCGTCCTATTTGAGACTCGTCAACTGGATGTACCTGCATTTTTCAGTGAGTGATGAAATTCCCACCGAGGCTCGAACCCAGTGACCATAGTTTCAAACGCCAAAGCGTTATCCACTAGACCACTTGGGCCACGGGAAAATCTAAAATTCAGTTACAGTCTTCCCTTAGCTAAATTCTTATGTTCCGACAATCTGACTACTCCGCCCGACCTACTAGTTTGACCTATGCAGTTGACTTCACAGACATTGTTTACTAGTCTAAGATTAAAGGTTATTTATATTTCGCTAAACTTTCAGCTGTTTAAAGTCAACTAATTCAAAGATAGTTTGTGTTATGTGTGCCGTCTACTATTCATAATGTGTAGTGAGGGTCTTATCTTGTTCTACTTAAATTGTATTTCAAGAATTAGCGTTGAGGTTAGAAACTTCTCGTGTAAGTATAGCAGATAAGACTGATCTTTTCATAGATACACAACTGCTGCGTGCTGACAGTAATGCGTTGTTGTTTTTTATTTTCACTTCTCTTGTAGAATCTTATTCCACTAGTATTCAGGAGATTTTTCCTTAGCCCATGGGAAGGAGCACAAACTACTTTGTATACGGTGCTGACCAATTATTTAATCTCAGGTGGTTACTATTCAAACTGTGCACTGAAAGAACCTACAAGTCTGGTAAAAAATGTTGAAGTGAGAAGATGGTTTTGGAGACGAACGTGTGACCTATTGAATATTCAACCATCTGATCAGTAAACTGTATATTATTAAAATGTAATGTGTAAACCACTTGACTGAGATTAACATAAAGCTATTGGTATCACAGTGACAGTTTTTAATTATGCTTAAATATTAATAAAACACTTCTTTTTAAATGAATTGGATCCTAGCACGTCTGCAATTTTACACTTCTGATAAATCATTGGTTTTGCTGAGGTAGATTATTTTGGCTGTTTGGGAGGCAGTGAGTGGTTGAAGTAGAAAGGGGGGAAATGCGGGTTAACATATACTATTCAACCAACACAAATCACTTTATTTGGCCCATTTTATAAGCAGCCTCCCAAATAATGTAAATATTTCAGTTAGTGTAGTTTAAAATTTTATGAGGTCGTATATAGCATCAAATAACAATTCGCCTTAAACGTGGAGTGAAGTAAATCTATGTAAGGTCGACAAAAATGTATAAGAAACCAACAATACTATTAAGGGAAAGACGACTGCCTGATTGTATCATGAACATGTGAAAAATTAGCTGAGCTTTGAGTCACAGAGCAAGAGCAATCTGCTCGGATGAATGTCTTGATGAGGAACGTAATAATATTAAACGGCTGTTGAGTGGAAACGGTTATCCAGAATATGAATCTAAAATCAAGGTAGTTCAAGTTACCAACAGTTCCTAAAATGGCCTTATTTTTACAAATTCAGTTCCTCGGAGACCACATCAGCGAGATACTAACACAACGCCTTAGAAACTCTGTAAAAGAGTATTCCCTGATGCTAAATACGATGTGTCTTCAAAACCACTCCTCTTTTGCGTTCAAGAGTAAAAGATAAACTGCCTAATTTCGCCTATTCCATGTATATCTACCAATTTAACTGCTTCTGTGGAGTGTGCCAGTTACATAACCCGTACAATTAGGCGTGTTTCTCGTCGGATTTCCGAACGTCACTCTGCATAGTGGTTAAGTGAAGGTCAAAGAAAACACATTCGTAGTGCTATTCTATCTCATCTTGTGGATACAGAACACAAGATTGATGTCAACGAGGCCTTCAAAGTCATTTACCACATAACAACAAATCTTAACCTTGTCTACCACATATTGCTGAGACCATTGGGATCCACATTAAGAAGCCTAATTTACGTGTCCAAAAGAAGTGGGTTCAGACATTGTCCTTACCTTGGCCATCTATGTCCTACTGATCCTCAAATTTTTGTGAAATTTTCCTAATTTTATTTGATATTCTATTTGGTATTATATTTTTATTGTTATTATTATTTAAGCATCTCTAATGAACTGTAATTCCTGACATCTTACTTTACAAGTCGATAGTATTTAAGGAGCACTAATATTGTTATTGCCTACTATTCTAGAATATTCTGTAAATATTAACAAAATCATAATTGTAGAGCCAGAAGAGGAAATTATCGAAAAGGATATTCTTTGCTCAATTATTTTGTGTTTTACAGATGTCTGAATGAATATTTCCGCTAAATTATTAAAGTCTTAGTCTTACTAAATTCCGAATTCATAATTATTGTTATTCCAACCAATTAGATACTGACTTTAGTGAGTACTGTCATTTAATGTATTTACTTTCTTAATGTTACTTTCTAAGCAAAGTTAGGAATCTGTATAAATATGAACCATGATTACAAATTATTCTAAATTTTCAGCACTGTGAATCATAACATCAATTTGTCAGCTAGGCATAATTGTGACGGTCACTTCAACTTTTTTTGGCTAATCCAAGACACGAGATAATGAGACAGTTAATAGTGGCTAATACTGCTCTGAAGACACAGTGGAGAGGGAGTTCGACTTTGTTGAAAAGTATGTGTCTGAAAATGGGTATTTTAAGTGATTCACAAGTCGAGACAGAAGCAATGATGGCCAAGAGAAAGTATTTATCCACTTAACTTCAAAGATGATATATATCAAACAATGGACAAGAGAATATCAATTGCTCTTGCTATTACTGACTTCCGTTTACAGCACTTTTTTCGCTCTTTATCCACAGAAGCTGAACAAGTAAATGTGACTACATCAAGAAAGTCACTGAACATATTGAGACGGGTCCATTTGAGGAAATTAAGAAGCCTGTAGATACAATAATGAATAAGGTTAAGAAATCTAAAGCGGATTTAATACACAGAATGAAGCCGTCACTGGGCGAGTCTTAATGGTTTAATTTAATGCCTAAAACTTAAAATGCCAGTAGAATCTATGTTACTACTGAAATACATAAGCCACGTTACCCCATACCAGCAATAGCAGATTTCAGAAATACCTCTACTTATGAATTATTAAAACACTTAGCTCTAATACTAAGTCCCATTAGAAATCGTTCAAACTCTAGACTAACTAATTCATATGAGGTGAAAAATAAACTAAATGACATTCAACTAGACAATGATGAAACAATGGTTAGTTTTGATACAACTAGTCTTTATACTAATATACCAGTCAATATGGCCTTAGAAGCAGTTAAAAAAGAAGTAACTGAAGATCCTGAACTCACTCATAGGACGAAGCTGCCCATTGAGGAAATTACTTTAGGGATTCGGTTATGCCTCACATCTACTATCTTTAAATTCCAAGGTAAAATACATAGACAAACAGAAGGTGTAGCAATGAGATGGATCACCAATATCCCCAATCTTAGCAGATATATTTATGGACAGCTGGGAAAATATTGCTCTTAATACATTTAATCCTACTCCAAAAATATGGTGGATATATGTGGATGACACTTTCACACAGTGTTAAAAACAAAACATATCTCTAGCATCTTGACACATATAAACTCACTAGCAGAGGGAATAAAATTCACATCTGAATCGGAAAGTGAACAAGGAGAATTACCTATGTTAGATTGTAAAATAAAACGAATAGAGGAAGGTAAACTGCACACTAACGTTTATAAAAAACCAATGCATTCAACTAACAGGTATTTAGACTTCAACTCATCACATCCATTAACTGTTAAGGGAGGCTTAGTAGTTAAGTGTCTAACAAACTCAGCAATAGCACTAAGTAGCACAAGAAAAGACCTAAATGATGGAATGAAACAGATAGAAGAAGCTTTGGTATCAAATAACTAACTATCCTATAAAATTCATTAGGAAGATCAGAAAAGGCCAAAAGCAAAATAAAAATAACTGTGAAACTAGTAATGATAACATAAATAAGAGAGAATATAAGTCGTCTATTGTTGTACCATATAAGGGAGGGGGATATATGAGATCCTACGTATGATTCTTAACAAAGCAGGAATCAGGGTGGTGGCATTTAAACCTACAAACTCACTCAGATAGGACAAGCTCTGTAGGTTAAAGGACCCTGTCGGTTGACCCAATTAGACAAAATTATATAATTTACAAAATACGCTGCTATGACTGTGAGTTTGGTGAAATACATAGGTGAGATTAGTGGATCAGGCGAGGTAGTCAGATTGTCGGAACATAAGAATTTAGCTTAGGTAAGAATGGTTGACCCCTAGAAGATAAATAATTTAGAAAAAAGCTCAGCAGTACATAGCAGTGCACAAGTTTTATTTTTAAACCAGAATTCACCTCCAACTGCGAAATCCAATTCATGTATACATAAATCGGAAAATGAGAGAGGTGGCTATCCACTCATTTTTCAGGATATATTTCAAAATCGTGAGTGTTTAGGTCCTTTGTGCGTTTGCTGTTTCGTAAAATTGAAATCACAATGTTTTTTTCTGCAGTTGAAGAGAATCCTGAAAATAAAATGATGAGCACATCTTATTCTCAAAATTTTTCTCGTTTCCTGTGATGAAAACAGTGATTAACTCACTCTATCATTCTTGGTTAAGGTTAGTACTTTTATTTGAAAAATACAGTTTGCGTCACCTGTGTTAACTATATCAGTTTAACAGAAAGGAGAGTCTAAGAGAAATTTGACGGTAATAAGGAGTTTGAATTACAGATTAATTAACCGGATAAACGAATTTACGAATTCCAACATAGTTTTCACTATACATGAACTCTTATATGTTCACAGGGGTCTATCATTTTTTGGAGACCAGAGGGGTGAAAAGAGAATACCAAAATTACCAGAAATTACAATACCTTCAACAGTCTTTTGGATTCACTTTGTCTTGTTTCAGTGTCTATCCAGTTAACTTTCAAGGCAGACGACGCATCCCAAAGAATAAACATGCAATCAAAAGGATAGAAATTTTATGTACAAATCTTTTCAATGGTGATGTGTTTCATACTTTGAAATCATTTGAAAACGGTGAAGTCATATGTGAACATGCGTCTCGCTTATTCCAAGTATCCGTTGCATCTGGTTATTACATGATGAGTTAATCATTCGGTGAAAATAACAAACTGTACTCTTGCCATGAGTTAAGATAACACCACTTTAAAAAGAATTAGTAATTTACCGTTATTATTATTGTTTCCTTTAATTCCTAGAGGAACATAGAGCTTCAGCCACACGTCTCCATTGCATTCAGTTCTCTGCCAAAGTTTTCACCGGCCTCCACGTCTGTCCACATGCTTTCACCTCCTCTTCACATTCTCTCCATGTAACCCTTACACTGATGACCACCTCGCCGCTTCCTATTCGGATTCCACTCGAGCGATGGCCTGGTGTGTGTTGTCACTTGATGGTTTTCTCAGAGTATGGCCAGTTCACCTCCATTTTTTCTTGCACAATCGGTTCCTGGTTGCTTCGCTCCCAGAAATCCCTCCCTGTTGCTGATCTTTTCTGGCACGCCATCTGATCTTGAGTAGTATTGAGCGAAGACAGCTGTTGATGAAGGTCTGTAGTTTGTTCGAAGTGCGCTTCGTGAAGCTCCAGGTCTCTGATCCACATAGTAGCACTGACTTCACATTGGAGTTGAAAATCCACATCTTATTTTTCATGGTGAGTGCTGAGTGATGCTGACCTCCACACAGACCTGAGGGTAATGAAAGCTTGCCTTGCTTTCCAGATCATCGCTTCGATATCCTCATCAATTCCGTCCGACTCTGGTTGAAAAGATGCTTCCCAGGTAGGTAGGTAGGTAGAGGAGGTTGATTCCTTCAGATTTCTCCCATTTATGCTGGCTGATTGTTGTCTGTTGT